TTTCAGCAGAGGCAGCCTTTCTAGGCTAGACAGGGGCCAGCCCCACAGCAGCAGCCCTACCAGCCTAGGCAGGGGAAACCATACCAGCAGCCCCAGCGTTAGTATGCCAAGCCAGCAGCAGCTCCGGCTCCAGATAATCAGATGACAAAGCTGGAAAATATTCTAGCAACATTCATGACTACCACTCAGGCAACTGTCACGAGGCTGGACCAGAGTATAGCCTCACTAGAGGCAGGTCAGAGGAACCAAGGTGCCATTTGGCAAGATCTACAGCACCAGATGGATAGCATGGCTCGCAAAATTAATACCCGGGCCCCAGGAACTCTACTGCCACTACCATCCCCAATCCACGGGAGCTGCCCCAGCAGCTGGATGCCATTTTTACCAGGAGCGGTAAGACCATATCCGCTGATCCTGCCCCGGCCAGGCAGGAGGAACCACTACCTGCTTCAGCACTTCCAGCCGACGATGCAGAAGTGCGGGTGGAGAAGAAAGCCTCTGCTCCCAAGCCACAACCAGTGGTTAAGGAGCATGTACCCCAACTTCCCTTCCCCACTCGCCTACACAAAGACAAGCTGGAGACTGAGTTTGCCAAGTTTATGGCAATGTTGAAGCAGCTCAACATCAGCATACCGTTTTTGGAGGCACTGTCGAAGATGCCCAAGTACACAAAGTTCATGAAAGATCTCCTCACCAACAAGAAGAAACTTGGGGATCTCTCGACAGTGTTACTGAGCGAGGAGTGTTCTGCTATCCTGCAGAACAAGCTGCCCGAAAAGCGCAAGGACACATGGAGTTTTACTATCCCTCTTACTATTGGCAGCATGCATGTAGGCAAGTCCTTGGCGGACCTAGGCTCTAGCATAAATGTCATGCCATATAGGTTGTTTAAGAAGCTAGACTTAGGTGAACTTAGCCCTACTAGGATGAGCATCCAGCTCGTGACCGTTCCATTGTGCATCCTAGGGGGATCATAGAGGATCTGCTTGTTAGTGTAGGTGCATTCACATATCCTGTTGATATTGTTATTCTTGATATACATGAGGATGTGGATGTGCCTTTGATTCTGGGTAGACCATTTCTTGCCACCGCCAAGGCACTTATTGATGTGCATGATGGTAAACTGATCCTGCGTGCTGGGAATGAACAGGCTACTTTTTCTGTGACTGAATTCGATCACTGTGCTATGATTGCTGTCACACCTGTGCATGCCATTTCTGATCAGGTACACGAGCCTGTCGTGTATCCTTCTGCACCTCTCATTTTGCAGGACTCTCCTATCATTCCTTCGTCGCCACTCCATCCAGTCTCGCCTCCGAACAAAAAGCTCAAGGAGGAGTGACGGCCGAAGCCGCAGGTGGCTAAGCCTGTTCGAAAGAAAGGTGGAGACCACTATGAGCTGGTCCCACCTCCTGCACCACGACCACCCTGGCCGTCCGAGTACTCACTCGCCTGCATCTTGCCGGATGGCCAGGTCGAGCTGACCGATGATGGTGGTCGCATCCGTCGGGTGCATGGCCACCTTCTGAAGCTATACCTCAAGAGCGACGTGGATCCGCTCTTGGAGGCATCTGTTCCTGCACCTCCCTGAGTATCCACCATGGGCGTCCAGCTAAAAGATGGTAAAGAAGCGCTTGTGGGGAGGCAACCCCACCACGGTTTTAATCTCTTTCTTTTGTTTTGAGTCAGATTGTAAACCGGTTTGGTTTTGGTTTGTTTTCTTTTATTTTGGTTGATGTATTATTGGGCTGACCATTGGACCTAACATGTTGTGTTTTAGCTCTTCTGTCCCCCTTTAGCTGTGCTTTGTTCCAGATTGGTCCCTCTCCAGTCCGCTTCACTCGAAGGGTCCGCTTCCAGTCTCATGCAGTCCGTGAACACCGGTAACATCGTTCCCCTTATCCTTCCCTCTTCTCCATTGAGGGCAATGTCGATCTTAAGTGTGGGGGGATGTTTCTCTTTTGACTGCGTTAGATCTGTTTGTGTGCTTGGAGCCTAGTCCACTGTCCAAATCTCGTGATTTGAGGGCTCCAAGCACTGTTGTTTGCTTGATGTTTGATCGTATTGGCACTGTGGATGTGATTAGTGAATTGAATGGCTTTTGACTTATTGCATGACAACCTAAGACAGCTTATTATGATGACTGAGATGTGCAGTAGAACTGTGTAGGGGTTCAGTTTTTCAACTGTTTGCTTACCAACTGTGACTTGGATTGATCACTTGCTTTTGACAGTCATTTATGCATCTAGTTCAGGGAATTAGAACGAGAGATAGAGCATATAGGTAGTCATGTGAGACTTGTGCCTGCTCGTTTCTTTCTTGTGCGATAGTTCCCTCTTCCATGATGGGTAGCATTCACGTTGTCATTAGCTAAGATGATGGAGGAATAGGATTAGCCCACGATCAAATTGACTGTCCTGGTGTGTCATACCCCCTAGTCAGCCCCTTTGAGCCGTGTGTTTTCCTTTCTTTCAGTCTTTAATGAAAAGTCACCCTTTTGCATCTTTTAGAAGGTTCCACAGAGTGATTTTTACATGTTCTCTACTGTTTCTGCTAAATGTAATGTGAGAGTTGGAGGTAGTTCTTAAAAAGTTGGGCAGGTGTTTGAAAATGTGCAGAGGTGGTGGTTCTCTTAAGAAATGGAAAAAAATGAAAGAAAAACAACGTAAAAATGAAAGCAAAAGAGAGCCGCCACCAAAATATCTAAATAGTGCCCGTTCAGTAGTGTTTCTTAGCAGTCTGGCTTAGAAATACTGACATTTATGTGACCTCCTTCGCTCTTGTGCTTTGAAGAATTTGAGTAATGCAGAATAGCAGAAAGAAAGTTATTGGTTTGATTGACTGTGAGTTTGTTGGGTTTGGAAATGTGGAACCTTGTGCTATGAATACTTCCACCACCTAAAAGGCCTTTTCCCCATGTCCAAGACCCTAGCCAGTCATCTGAACCTGTGTCTAAGACCTCCGGATTAGTTAGTGATGACAACCATTTATGTGAACTCTAACATTTAGAGGCTGCCATCATGGTGAAGAGATGTTAGGAATTGAGAGAATAAGTATGCGCATTTTTCGCGTCAAATTGTCCTAACCCCACTGGTCGAGAGTGAGCGATTCATTTCCTTGTTCTTTACACTCTTTACCCGGTGAGGACCTAGATGGCTCAGTCTTGATTCTGATGTCTTGAGTTTTATGCATGAGTTGACTGTCTTGAGTAAGTGGTTGAGTCAAGTCTAGGTTGGTTGATGAATAGAAGGGAGACTCCTCCTTTACTCGATTTTGCTGCACTCGAATGTCCTCTGTGGTGGTTGTCCAGGTTGCTATTGAAGTTGTTCATGTGTTGATGTTTGAAAGCCAGTACGATTCACGTGTTCTGTGCCTCTATGATTTGTCCCCAATGTTGGTATGATTGAAATATGTGAGCTTACCTTGTATCTGACTTGGTTTGCTTGGGGACAAGCAAACGGTTAAGTGTGGGGGAATTTGATGACTCGATATTTGCACATGTTTTCCCCTTTTGTTTCTTGATCGTTTAAGCTTGCATTATCGCTTCTTTGGCCTATTTTATGCTAGGTTGTGTTCCTTTGTCACATTTCAGGTCCTAGCATGTAAATTGAAGCATAGGCGCAAGTTTGAAGTCAATCGGAGATCATTCGGCAATTCGGGAGAAGAAACACGAGCATGACCTGAGTAATAATGGACTTCTACCTCATATTATGGACAAATAATCATGGAATTTTTTCATGAAAATAAATAGGACGAGACTACGAGCGGTGGGGATCAAACGTTGACTGATTCGGAGTCCGGACGAGGGAGAAACGAAGCATTAAACAGAGGCTGAGCAACCCACACGGGCACAACCAACACGGCCGTGTGAAGGCTCGGCAAAAGCCACACGGGCAGCCTGAACACTCACACGGCCGTGTGGGTCCTGGCCGCGTTGGATGGCTGAAGTCACTAATCGAAATGCCGCGCTTTGCAAAGCCACACGGGCATCTGGGAAAGTCACACGGCCGTGTGACATGGCCGTGTGAGTCGGGATTTTCTGGTTTTAAGCCAATTTCCAGCCACAAGTGAGGGGGATTCGAGTTTTAGAGAGACATAGCGATTCCTAGAGAGAGAAAGCGACGAACAAGAGTTCCCAAGTGCCCTAGCTTGATCTTCATCACCATTGCAGCTTGGCTTGAGCTTGGAGGAGTGCCGATTGACAACCAGGAGCAGAAACTCATCCTTCACAGTATGATTTCCGCGTCTGAATCTGCTTTTGCTTCTTTCTCCATGGAGTAGTTCTCCATTCATCTGGGTATGGGAAACCCTAGATTTGTATGTTAGGTTTGATTGTATGAACCCAAGTACAGATTCTATGATTTGATTATATTCAATTGAGGTTTGGATGATTGAATGGCATGAATCCTGATCAAATTCCTGTTGTTTCTGCTTTAACCTAGAAAGAGAATATCTACCTAGGTTGATAGAGCACCCTTAATTGAAGGTAGTGAATTGGCGACTTTAGTCGAGGAGCCAATTCATTATTCTGTACCGAATTCAATCGGTAGTGGAGGCTTTGTTCGTTAGGGCCTCAATCTGTTTACTCTGGTGGAGGTTAGTCGCCCGCTAGAGACTCAGATTGAGAGGGTCTGGAGATCTTTAGTCGAGACTTCAGACTGTTTAAGAACCTTCCGCAGTATAACTATCATAGAAATTGAACTTGGTAAATTGCAATCCGGCTTAACTGCAGTCTAGGGGGAACCATATCCGGGTGACCTCTCTTGACTTGAAACAACCGCTTAACTTGCCTTGTGTTTTTGTTTGTTTGAACCTGCACTTAAGTTTTACTGCTAGATAATAAGAATTCACTGAGTAGTCATCACATCTAAGACCCGGGTTGACATTAAAACCCAAACCCGCTATACTACGCTTTAGGAAGTGGTTACACTTGGCCAATTTCTAGAGTGACAGTAGGAAGTGGTTATAAAAGCAGTCGGTTCAGCGACTCCGGTGTATGCGATGCTGTCTTTTCGTTTACCATCCACCTCATGTCGTCGAATGAATGGTCAACTCTCTCGCTTTTGGTGGGCGAGTCAGGACAAGGAGAAAGGGATTCATAGGATTGCCTGGCCAGCAGTGTGTGTGAGTAAGTTTAGGGGCGGATTGGGATTCCGGGATTTCGACTTATTCAATGTAGCCATGTTGGCAAAACAAGCTTGGAAGATTCTACAATCCCCATCTGCCATGTTAGCCAAGATGTATAAAGCGAGGTATCACCCCCAAGGCTCATTTCTCAATGCTCCAACGGGCACTCGGCCATCTTGGGCTTGGCAAGGCGTTCTAGAAGGCCGCAAGCTCCTGTGCAAAGGTCTTCAGTGGCAGGTCGGTAGTGGGACAGCAATCAGAATTCTCGACGACCCTTGGCTACCCACATCACCTCCATCTTCTCCGATACTGCTACCTGGAGTTCAACTTACGGATCAGTTCGTGGCTTCCTTGATTAATCCCCTATCCCGGACTTGGAACAAGGATCTTCTCTGCAACTACTTTACTAATGACAGCGTCAAATTGATTTTGTCTATTCCGCTTCCATCTTCCCCTAGGACTGACAAATATATTTGGCACTATTCTGATACAGGGGAATATACAGTCAAGTCCGGATACCACCTTCTCTCGGAGGAGCGCGCGGAGATGTTTTCCAACCTTCCGCCGCATCTTGATTCTCAGTTTTGGAAAACACTGTGGAGCTTGCCGATTCCGCCCAAGCTCAAATTTTTCTTGTGGAGGGTTGTCCGCGGATTTCTACCATGCCAAGAAATTCTGCAGCTTAAATCCCTTTGCGATTTGAATGAATGCCCTGTTTGTTCTTCGGGGATAGAGTCCATCTCTCATTGCCTTTTTGAATGCAGGGTAGCTCGAGGGGTCTGGAGCTTGGCTGGAAAAGAGCACATTAGAGTTATGATAGCGAATCTTTCCCCTGACTTGGCTTGGTCTGTTATGTTTAACTCACTGCGGCTCAGTAAACTGGAGATGGCGGAGATCCTGTTCCTCACTTGGCGAATATGGAAGGCTCGTTGTTGGTCTTGTTATGATCGAGTCTAGTATTTGCCAGGCCCTCTACTTCGCCAATTTCTGCAGCAAAGGGACGAGTGGATAGCAGTTACAACGACAAGCGTGCAGCACAGGAATTCCCCTGGTCGTCTCCCAAACACTTCACCTTCTCCATCCTGTCCACCAGGGGGTTTGTTGATTCGCTTTGACGGGGCGACCCGACGGGGAGTTGGTGGCAGTATCGGTTTTGTGGGTATATCGGCATCAGATATGTTCATCCATGCCTACGGTAAGTATTATGAAGGCTTATTCAACCCATTCTTATTGGAACTCTTAGCGTTGAGAGATGCTATAGAATGGTGTTTAATTCGGGGATTTTCATCTGTTTGTTTTTGTGGCGATTCTCAACTGGTGATTCGGCGAGCAACGGAGAATGAAGTTCAGCACAATCGTGGTGGGGCAATTCTGGAGGAAGTTAGGTTGCTGAAAGCTTCGTTCGCGTTTATTCGTTTTGTTTTCTCTCCTCGTAGAACTAACAGGGCTGCCCATTGCGTGGCGAAAACGGCTCTTGCATCGGTAAATCAGCACTTGGTTGATTACTGCTATTTATTTTCCAACTCTTTGTAATTCCCTATCTATTACATATCTACCTCAGGCAAAAAAATATATCCACAACTATCGAAATACACGACATATCCATTTTCGTCCACTCCGTTAACTCTGTCAATTAACTTGATGACTGGACAGACGGTGGATGCTTAGTTGGTGTGTTTCTGACCCCACTGAATGACATGGATTAAAAGAGAATTTTTTTTAAACTCTAAAAACCACAGACAACGAGACTTAAAATCCAACCCAGAAACACGCCCGATAACCACTGATCCTCCTCCGGTCGACGCCTCCACCCCCAAATAACCCTACCCCAAGCCTAGATTTTGATTGCAACCACAATCCCCAACCATTTCCTCCCTTTTACTACGACGGCTTCCATGCAGTCGGCGCCATGGTGATACCAAGCTTGAATCTCAAACAAAAAAAGTTTGAATCTAACAAAATCGCCAACAGAGAAGACTGCAGCAGCGAGGTTTAACAGATAACGGTGTAAAGTTTGGTTGATTTTTGGGTTATGTGGCAGGTGAGATGGTATCGATTCAACATTTCGTTAGTCAATTTAGAGCCGTCTGACACGCCGTTATAGTTTCAGACGAAAGTGGATAGATTTGTCACACAATCTTCCGATTTTTGAATATTTCGTGTATTTCGATAGTTGTGGATATATTTGTCACAAACCTAATAGTTGTGGATATACAACTGTATTTTGCCTAAAATTTTTTTCTCTCTTTTATTCCACGTCATTTAGTGGGGTCAGAAAAACGCCGACCAAACATCCACCGTCTGTCCAGTCATCAAGTTAACTGACGGAGTTAACGGAGTGGACGAAAATGGATATTTCGTGTATTTCGATCGTTATGGATATATTTGTCACAAACCTGATAGTTATGGATATACAACTATATTTTGCCTAATTAAAAATGAAATTAGGGTATTGAGTAATTTTCAGCCCATTAAACGGCTGGTTAACGAAAAATTAGACGGCAGGGGTATAATTGTTTACGTTTCGGTAGTAGAAGGGTACGTTTGTGAACAAATTAATAAAGGGGTACGTTTGTTAATTTACAATAATAGAGGGGTACCAAATGCTATTAACCCCTTTTAAAAATATTCATAGTAATAAATGTAATCACCTTCTCATGTTATTTCTACTCACAATATTGAGTGTCACTGCCAAAATTACATCGACAAAACCAAAAATTTTGCTCAAACCACTTTTCTACTATCCATACTTTATATTTATATATTGGTCCTTAAAAGTTTTCTAAGTGACAATCTTTTTCATAAGAAAATCATGATGGTATCTAAATATGAGTTTTCCAACTCTAAAGCTAAATTTAGTTTGATTGATCTTGGCCATCTACGTTGTGAGATTCAAGCATTGGTTGAAATAGTTGATGAAATTTCCTAAAAAATGTCTGAATATGACAGAAAGAGGGTAGAAGATAAATTTCAAACCATCCTAAATCAATGGTTAGATGTAATTGAAAATGAAGGAAAATTAAAATAGAAGGAGTCTGAATCTTATGTATATAAACTTCAGAAATAAGAAAATGGTCATATACATATCGCGCCCGACTAAGAGAATAGTTAATGCTTATATTGATTACTTAGCGAATGATCTTCGAAAATCTATGGGTTTAATGGAAGAAGCTTTGATTGAAGTAGACAATCGAAGGTTTAATAAGCTTGTTACCCCAAAGAGACATGAATTTAAACCAAATTATCCTCATAGAACAAAAGAAGATTTTCTTCCGAGGGATAACCACTAGCCATAAGTTCATTATTTTTCTTAATATTGATTGTGAAAAGCATGTATATGAAAGGATAGATGAGTGTATTACAATCCTTAGGATAACGGCTAAAGCATGCAGCTTTATGCCTAACTAAACTTATGACTTTTGTAAAGCCACCATGGTAGAAAATGCCCAAAATTTTGGAATATACTAGCATCCGATACCGCACTCAATGATGAAATTGCTAAAGAAGTTTTACAAGAAGGCATTTTGGCAATGGTAATTGATGGTTTCAAAAGAGAATTTTGTGGATTTAAGTTATCAACCGAAACTTTACAAAAGGATCAATCTATAATGGCTCTCATGAAACTTCATATTTTTTACTTGTGTTATTTTGAGAATTGAGTTTGTGAATTTCAGAAGTACTATTACAATCTAAACTTAGTGTCTCAAGTATACATGAATATGTTGTTCTTTGCTAAACTACCAAATCATCGGCCATAAGTAGCAAAAATAGCTTTTTATCTCCTCCTTCACGAGAGTCAAATTGTTGATGGATCAGGAGGAAGAACCCAAGTAGTATGTTATGCTATGAGAAAGATATTTGATGAACTCCGAGTTAGGCATATGCTAAATGGCTACCCTACGTTTAAAAGAGTAGGTGTGTCCAAATAGAGTATTTTCCTGATAGATATGGATGTTCCAATGAATCAGAACCACCATCTAGGAATAACAATACTAAAAAATATCCTCTAAAAGGAAAAGATTCAAAGGAAGTAAAAGAATAATGTCGAGAGAGGATATGAGGGATTCTGATAAGCCCTCAATGTTCACAAAAAGAAGAACGAATTTCAGAGATAGTGAAAGGATTGACACATTCAATAGAAAATATAGAAGGGAACCAAAATGTCTCAAAGAGAAACATACTGAATCGAAAGATCACAAAGCTAATATTTGTCCTCACTAGAGTAATTGAAGAGAAAATCTTCGAAAGATCTTGTTTGAAGGTGAACAATTGGCCTGCGAGCCCATTGATGAAAATGAGTTGTCGGAAGAAAATTTGGAGGTAGACTCAGTCTACGAAGTAGAGCCAGAATATGAATAAAATAGATGAAAGGAAGGGGAAATGAATATGCCTCACATAGATAGCTAGAAGATGATATCATTTTTGGACCATTTTGTTGCCTTTTATTTTTCTAATCCTCAATGTGTCAGCTTGGTTAAGCGCGCCTAAATTGGATTAATTACTCCTCAAGTAGATTAATTGTGCCTAGCCCCGTATCCGCATAGCCGTTATGAACGCCTAATTATCTTACATGGGCAAGACGTTTTGTTGTTGTATAGCGCCTAGACACACCCAGGCGTAAGCAAAATTACACCTTGAATCCTCATCAATTGTGATAAGGGAATAACATCGTGCCAGAATAAAATACATACGAAATCATTTGAAACAATTCAACTTAGCTCTACATTGTTAATATAAAATAAAATTTAAGAAATAAAATCAATAAAATAAAAAACATTCAATATGAATTGATGATCCAAATTCAAATTCCAACACATAAAATAAAAAATAATTAAACCTCTCCATCCAATTAGCATGTATCAACTAGCTAGACATCAAACACAAGCACCACAAGATCATCATCATCCACAAACATCAAAGAAACAGAGACTGCTATAGAGTAAGGTTCACTCCATCAATTACAAAGCGTATCCGGGGAGAGGGGTGACTTTCGGATTTTGAATCTTTGACGTATTTGGGAATTTGGGTGGAGGGTTGTTTGCGATAGGCAAGCATTGAGATGTTTGAAAAGGTCACTTAAGTACGTCTTGGATCATAAACGATGGGTTATACTAGTGGATAGTTATTGGTTAACCATTAGCCGCTCATTCGGGTAATGGTTAAGCGCGCCTAAATTGGATTAATTATGCTTCAAGTCGATTAGTTGTGCTTAGCGATTAATAGGGCATTTCTAGTGTAAAGCAGCTTCGCGAGTAAGGATCAAATACACCAAGATGCGGAGCCCAAAAGCCAACAAAACATGCTCATTTGAGCCACACACAACAAGGCCATACGAACAAGTAGACTCTTGGATTGCCACATCACAATTAACTTTAGGAAGTCTTCAGGAGAGGGATCTGTCACGACATTACTCTCGATCGTACGGCCCTAGCTCTCAATTCCGTTAGAGCGCTAGGCAGCCTTTCTCTCAACTCACTTGCAAGCAAAGAAACAAGAACAAAGACAAAGGAAATGGGAGAACTCTTTAGTGTGTATTACTCTACAAAATGATGGAATGAGTTACAAGTGAGGGAGATGACTCCTTATATAGGCCTCTCCTCATACAAGGCATCAATGCCCCTCATAATGTCCCTCTACATCAATACACCCCATTAAGTCCCCCATTACGCACTCTATAAATGTCACCCATTATGTGACTCATAAGTGCACCATTAAGCTCTCATTTCGGTGGAGAATCCTAGGAGCATCTCTATCCTACTAGTCTTCCATACATGCCACATGTGCAGCCGCCATATTGTCACCTTGTTGGCGCCATGTCATCTGCCACATGTGACATCCTCCCCCACCTATGCTCGCGACGCCCTTGTCGCGTCCTCTTGATGGAATGCCTCGATCAAGTCCTTGTTCTTCCAAAGCGTGAGCTCTTTCTCCCAAGTTGCTTCACTCTTCGGAAGGTTGCGCCACTTGACCAAGTACTCCACAAAGCTTGGATGTACGCCACGACGAGGAATGACACGACCCGCCATGATTTCTTCAACTTCATGGTCGTGTGTCTTGGTGATGAGTGTTGGTGCGCGCTGCAACTCTCTTCGCTGCTCGTCCTCCTTGTCTTCGTTGAAGCCTTGAGTTGGCTCACATGAAAGACCAGATGGATCTCTAAGTGCGACGGCACCTCCACCTTGTACGCCACCTTGCCAATCCTCTTCACGATGGGGAATGGCCCTTCATAGCGGCGAAGCAGTCCTTTGTGCACGTTCTTGAGATGCTTGAAGCGATGAGGGTAGAACTTGACCATCACCATGTCTCCCTCTTCAAACTCCAAGTGCCGCCTCTTCTTATCCGCCCATTTCTTCATCTTCTTGGTAGCGCGGGCTAAGTAAGACTTGGCCATCTCCATCTTCTCGTGCCAGCCTTTAGCGAACTTGTAGGCTGCCGGACTGTTGCCTCTATACCCCGTTGCCACCGTCGTAGGTGTCAAAGGTTGTTGCCCCATCGCCAACTCAAATGGACTCGTGTTGGTCGACTCGTTGCGGTGCAAGTTGTAGGAGAACTGTGTCGTGTCCATCAACTTCACCCAATCTCGTTGGTTTGCACTCACGTAGTACCGCAAGTACACCTCCAACAAGGCATTCACCCGCTCCGTCTGTCCGTCGCTTTGAGGATGAAATGCCGTCGAGAAGTTCAAGTTTGAGCCCATGATCTTGAACAACTCTCGCCAAAATCTGCCCGTGAAGCGCCCATCTCTGTCGCTCACAATGTTGCTAGGAATGCCCCAATACTTGACCACGTTCTTGAAGAATAGACGTGCCGCATCCCCTGCCGTCAAGTCTTTTGGCCCAGGAATGAACACTCCATACTTCGAGAACCTGTCCACCACAACCATGATGCAACCACATCCATCGACTTTGGGAAGTCCGATGATGAAGTCCATGCTTACACTCTCCCATGGTCGTTGAGGCGTGGGAAAAGGGCTCTAGCAAGCCTGCCGGGCTTCTCTGCTCCATCTTGTCTTGTTGGCACACAAGACAAGTCTTCACATACATCTCCACGTCGTCTCTCATACGCGGCCAGAAGTATGCTTTTTCGATGAGCGCTTGCGTTCTCTCGATGCCGGGATGGCCCGCCCACTTGGAATCATGGCACTCCTTCATGATCTCCTTCCTCAAGTTGGCCCATCTTGGCACGAACACCCGCTCTCCCTTGGTCATGATGAGCCCATCCTTCATCCACAGCCGTCATCTCTTTCTCTTGAACGGTGTATCGCCTCTCCGTCTCGCTGGGCTTCCGACTCTCGAAGGCAATGGGATGCCCATCTTGCATCAACACGCCCGCAATTGCGAAGTCGGATGCATCAGTCTGCACTTTGTAGGCCAACGTCGGGTTGGGGAGCACGAGCACGGGCCCCTTCATCACCGCTGCCTTCAAGGCCTCGAATGCTTCTTGGCACCTTTCCAACCAATCCCACGCCTTGTCCTTCTTCAAGAGATCCGTCAAGGGTGCTGCAATTTTGGAGTAGCCCTTGATAAACCTCCGATAGTAGTTGGCAAGGCCGAGGAATGACCGCAACTCTGGCACCTTCGTCGGTGGCTCCCATTCTTGGATTGCCTGCACCTTCGCTCCATCCATCTTTAACTTGCCTCTACCAATAATGTGCCCCAAGAATGGAACCTCCGTAGCGGCAAATGTGCACTTCTCCCTCTTGACGTACAACTCGTTGTCGCGAAGGACTTAGAAGACTTGGCGTAGATGCTCGGCATGCTCATCGAGTGTTTTGCTATACACGACGATGTCATCCAAGTAGACCACAACAAACCGGTCCAAGAATGACTCGAACACTTGATTCATCAAAGTGCAAAACGTGGTTGGTGCGTTGGTGAGACCGATTGGCATCACAAGAAACTCGTAAGAGCCATACCTCGTCACACAAGCCGTCTTTGGCCCGTCGCCCTCTGCTATCCGCACTTGATAGTAGCTGATAGACCGTTAATTACACATGTTTTCACCCCTGTTCTTACACCGTTTGAGATGTGGTTTCTCGTGTTTTAGACCGATTTCACGCTAGGTTGTGCTTGTTTGTGATATTTCAGGTCCTGGCAAGTGAATGAAGGTTTAGGAGTGAGTTCGGGGTCGATTGGGCGAAGATCGGGCGCGAGGCAAGTCACAAAGGAAGTCGCACGGGCACACCCACAACCCACACGGTCGTGCAAGTGACCAGTTTGGCCGTGTGGGATTGTGCGAGAGCAAACACGGGCAGAGCAGAAAATCCACACGGCCGTGCAAGGTGAGCTGCACGGCCGTGTGACCCTGGCCGTGTAAGAAGCCTGGAATTCAACTAATCGATACGCTGCGTTTTGACTCGCACGGGCAACTGGGTGAGCTGCACGGCCGTGCGGCCTGCCCGTGTGAGTCGGGAATTGCTGGTTAAAACCCGATTTTCAGCCAAAGGAAAGGGGAGAGCTGGGTTTTGGATCCCAAACACCCAAGGGACGAACCAAAGATAGAGAGGGCAATCTGAGGGCATTCTAAGAGTGGAATTGGAGGATTTCTTTGCTTTGGAAGCTCGAGGAACAAGCCCGGACTTGAAGACTAATCATCTGAAGATTCTTACTGCAGTCTCTCTCTTCTCTATGGAGTAACTTCCCTTCACTTAGGTTTTGAGGAACCCTAGCTATGTTTGTTTGATTGGATGATTGTATGAGTACTCTGACTTGATAATCTTGAGTTCATATTCAATCTATGCATGTTTTCATGATTCAATTCTGCTTTAGTCGAGATTATTGATTCTGCTTTGATCCTATGAGAGGGAATACCTAATTAGGTCAATAGAGCACCATAGATTGATAGTAGTGGATCGATTGCTTTAGTCGAGGGTTGATTCACTGCTTTGTATCGATTGAGAACCTCTTTCGATAGAGGGAGTCTAGTTCAGAACGCCTTGATCAGTTGTTCTAGAGAAGGATACGTCCCTCTAGGCAATTGACTCAAGAGGGCCTTGTTCCTTTAGTCGAGACTCAAGGTCTAGTCAAGGATTCTCCGCATTGTGAATGAAAGTGAAACAAGTTAGAAATCATCAATCGTTAGTCTGGCTAGTGGCTAGGGGGAATCATGCCTAAGTGAGTTCCCAACCTGTAATTAGATTAACTTTAACTGTAGTTTGCTAGAGTAGTTTTAGTTCTTTCATCTTAATCTGGTTTGCTAAATAATAAACTGAAGCTGAGTAATAGTAACTCTAGAGACTCGTGGATTCGATATTTATCACTTGAGCCACTATACTGCAGTCCCTTTCATTAGTTACACTTGGCCTTTGTTCGGTGTTGTGTCATAGCGAGTCAAGTTTTTGGCGCCGTTGCCGGGGACTTTCTAGAGTATTAGGAAAGGCAGAAGTTTGTTACTTTAGCGTTTTTCTTTTCTTTTCCACCCTTGCTTTTCACTTGGATGTTTTTGTTTTTGTTGGTGCAGATCTGAATCATGGATCCTCATGGCTTCTCCAACAATTGGGGGTATCCACCACCACCCGAGTGGTATTACCCCAAGACTCCCTGGAGCAATCAAGGAGGAGAAGACTATGGATTCGGGTTCCAGTACCAACCCCCTTACTACGGAGAACAACCGGACCCCTGGGCATATCAAGAACAACCTCATTACCAAGAAGAATTTCTCCCACAACCAGAAGGGCCATCGGCGCTTGAGTTACCCATGGCGGCCTTCACGGGCCATTCTGCATAGCCATGCTACACTCCACAGCCAGATCCACACTACGAATTGAGGCTTCTCATGGAGAGATCATGCTCCAGGATGGATCATTGTGTCCAGGCCTTTCGTGAAATAGAAGAGATCCTCCTGAGCCTTAAGAAGAGTGTCGATGATCTTGAGCGATCTTTGGCACAACCTGCTCCAGATCACCCTTCTGCTACCATACAAGAAGAGGAGGAGGACGAAGAAGGCTACAAGGACATTGTGGAGCACACTGAAGTTGTCACGAAGAGCTCCCGTGATGATCATGATCAGGAATGTCCTGTCGTAGCCGACCACACTTTCCCACACCCCAAACTAAGCTTTGAAGAGGCGGGCATGAGTGAGGAGATGCAAGAAGATCTCATGAAAGAAATTGCTTGGCAACTTGCTCTCCAATCCGTGCTAGAAGAAGACGAGCAAGAAAGGGTGCAGAAAGAAGTTGTGGAGGATGACGAAAGTGAAGCTGGAGGAGTTCTTGATCATTTCCCAGGGGTGATACCACATGAAGAAGGAAGGGAGGTTGAAGAAGCAATTGGCGTCCAGGCTGAGGACGAAGTTGAGGTGGAAGAGGCTTGCACCAGCCATGAGTTACATTTGATATCTCCACCAAACTTCGAGGAACTACTTAGCAAGGATCCATTTGCAGTGTCTCTTTGCCATACCAAGGTCACGTCGACATCGGTCCCTCTTGGTGGACGCGATGGTGGTCAATCGATGTTGTCATATCTGGTTTGGGGCAATGAGACGAGAGAAGAGAAGAAGAGGTCTCGAGGGTGGAGACTTCATCTGCATCAAGTACATGAGCCTTCATCACCTGCCACACCACATGCTCGTGACTTGAGACTCCACCTCATCGACGAGAACCTCAACTTCAAGGAGGTTCTAGCATGGACCGAAACTTAGGAGCCATCGTCCAGCTCACGACGTGAAAGAAGCGCTTGTTGGGAGGCAACCCAACCAGTCGGTTTGCATTTCTTTCTCTATTTCTCCTCGGTTGAGTCAGTTTTGTTATTTGATTTTAGAGTCAATAACTCAACCTTTGTGAGATTTTGTGTGGTGTTTGTGTTCTGATTACTCTCTCTTTCTGGAATGCACCGCCTGACCCGTTCATCATCATTCACCCTTGATCTGGTAACTTCGTTCTACCCTCCTAATCTTTCCTCCATTGAGGACAATGTCGTGCTTAAGTGTGGGGGGATGTTCGATTATGTATGCGGGTGAATGTTTGGTTGTTTGTGTGCTTGGAGCCTAGTCCACTGTCCAAATTTTTAAATTTGAGGGCTCCAAGTACGTGTTCCTTGCAATTGCCTGCTTAGTATGCAAGGAATTGACAGTCTTTATAGTAATATGCAACCTAGGGAGGTAGTGTAGCACTATGGAGGATGTTGATGCATGTAAGAAGTCTCATTTCTTCTTCATATTGTGTTGGTTGATTGAGTGAATTAGTGATCTTAGCACCCTTGAATTGTGTGGTGTTGTGGACTCTCTACCTGTCATGGACTCTTGTTTCATGTTTTGAGTTTAACAGGTGCTCGAAAATGTCCTTCAAAATAACGTCTCCCGTGCGAATAGGGCGAAAGTGTGTAAGGGGAGACGGGAATTCGTTCCCAATTTCCACCTACTACCTCCAGCCCCCTTACATGTCTTTCCCCCACACGAGGCTCGAGACATCCGCTCCTGGCATGGCCGGTAAGAGCAGGTTGGGACCCTTGAAAAAAAAGAGTAAAGAAAAAATAACAGAAAACAAGCAAAACAGAAAGAAAAGGGGTTCCAACCATCTTCAAAGAAAATAGAGCACCTTGAAAAATGTGAGTCCATGATCCTTTGTTTTTTAGAATCTCTTCATCCACAATTCATTTGTCCTCTGTTCACTATTTGCCATGATGCCGACTCGATACTAGTGCTCTCGCCGAAGAAGCTATGAGATGACTTGTGTGTCGGTTGACCTCGTAAGTTGCTAAATGATCTAGGAAGTCCTCTACCTACGATCTGGGGTGTTTGTTGCTATAGAGGTCTGGAGAGTTGCATTGGTTTGAGTTAGGTTTGCTTGGGGACAAGCAAACGGTTAAGTGTGGGGGAGTTTGATAGACCGTTAATTACACATGTTTTCACCCCTGTTCTTACACTGTTTGAGATGTGGTTTCTCGTGTTTTAGACCGATTTCACGCTAGGTTGTGCTTGTTTGTGATATTTCAGGTCCTGGCAAGTGAATGAAGATTTAGGAGCAAGTTCGGGGTCGATTGGGCGAAGATCGGGCGCGAGGCAAGTCACAAAGGAAGTCGCACGGGCACACCCACAACCCACACGGCCGTGCAAGTGACCAGTTTGGCCGTGTGGGATTGTGCGAGAGCAAACACGGGCAGAGCAGAAAATCCACACGGCCGTGCAAGGTGAGCTGCACGGTCGTGCGACCCTGGCCGTGTAAGAAGCCTGGAATTCAACTAATCGATACGCTGCATTTTGACTCGCACGGGCAACTGGGTGAGCTGCACGGCCGTGCGGCCTGCCCGTGTGAGTCGGGAATTGCTGGTTAAAACCCGATTTTCAGCCAAAGGAAAGGGGAGAGCTGGGTTTTGGATCCCAAACACCCAAGGGACAAACCAAAGAGAGAGAGGGCGATCTGAGGGCATTCTAAGAGTGGAATTGGAGGATTTCTTCGCTTTGGAAGCTCGAGGAACAAGCCCGGACTTGAAGACTGATCATCTGAAGATTCTTACTGCAGTCTCTCTCTTCTCTATGGAGTAACTTCCCTTCACTTAGGTTTTGAGGAACCCTAGCTATGTTTGTTTGATTGGATGATTGTATGAGTACTCTGACTTGATAATCTTGAGTTCATATTCAATCTATGCATGTTTTCATGATTCAATTCTGCTTTAGTCGAGATTATTGATTCTGCTTTTATCCTATGAGAGGGAATACCTAATTAGGTCAATAGAGCACCATAGATTGATAGTAGTGGATCGATTTCTTTAGTCGAGGGTTGATTCACTGCTTTGTATCGATTGAGAACCTCTTTCGATAGAGGGAGTCTAGTTCAGAATGCCTTGATCAGTTGTTCTAGAGAAGGATACGTCCCTCTAGGCAATTGGCTCAAGAGGGCCTTGTTCCTTTAGTCGAGACTCAAGGTCTAGTCAAGGATTCTCCGCATTGTGAATGAAAGTGAAACAAGTTAGAAATCATCAATCGTTAGTCTGGCTAGTGGCTAGGGGGAATCATGCCTAAGTGAGTTCCCAACCTGCAATTAGATTAACTTTAACTGTAGTTTGCTAGAGTAGTTTTAGTTCTTTCATCTTAATCTGGTTTGCTAAATAATAAACTAAAGCTGAGTAATAGTAACTCTAGAGACCCGTGGATTCGATATTTATCACTTGAGCCACTATACTGCAGTCCCTTTCATTGGTTACACTTGGCCTTTGTTAGGTATTGTGTCATAGCGAGTCAGTAGCCCGAGCGAAGATCTAGCTTGGTGAACCACATCGCATCTCCAAGCTGGTCGAACAAGTCAGCAATGTTGGGAATCGGCCACTTGTTCTTCACCGTCAACTTGTTGATGGCTCTATAGTCGATGCACATGCGCAACAACCCTTCTTTCTTTTTTTGGAACAGCATTGGTGCTCCAAAAGGTGACTTCAATGGCCGCATGTAGCCTGCGTCCACCAAGTCCTTGAGCTGCCTCCGCAATTCTTCTAACTCCGGTGGCGACATGCGGTATGGTGCTCGCGAATGGGGCATTGCTCCTGGCTCCAACTCGATCTTGTGGTCCACCTCTCTTCTTGGTGGCAGCTTCTTGGGCAACTCCGATGGCATCACGTCATCGAACTCTTCGAGGACGCCTTTGATGATGGGAGTTGTGATTCCCGTTGAGCCTCCTTCTTCCTCCATTTTCAAGGACACAAGAAAGGTTGGTTCATTCTTCTTGAACCCCTTCAATACCTGCATAGCGGATAGAGCACTATGGGGGCCATCTTCTCTCCAGAGATGAACCGCATGGAACTCCCCTTCCTTCTCCAAGCACATCGTGTTGGAGTTGCGCTTCAAGAGCACTACCTCCTTGTCGAGGAAGTTGATGCCGAGGATGACTGGGTGATCGTCCATGGTGACGACGGAAAAGTCGATGAGGCCTTCCCACTCGCCAAGCCTCACTGGCAAGCTGTGAGCAACTCCATGGATCGGGACGGACTCCGAGTTGATCGTCTTGAGCCTCCCTTGCCCCTTCTCGTAGGCAATACCCAGCCGGTTTGCCTCCTCGATGCGAAGGAAGTTGTCCGTGGCACCGGTATCCACCAAGGCTTTTGACTCGCCTTGCATGAATTGCGCCAGAACATAGCACCTCCCACGCTTGCTCTCCTTGACGTTGGTCTTCACCGTGCCAAGCTTGCGGATTGAGCCAATTTTGGACTCCGCTGCCTTGGGCTCTTCATCTTGAGCTTCCATGGACGCCAATCTCGCCTTCCTTGGGCAATCCCGCACTCGATGTGGTCCGTCGCAAAGGAAACAAGATACGGGCTTTGGTTCGTACTTACCCCCTTTGCTCGAACCACCTTGGTGTTGTTGAGTGCGAGAACCCTCCTTGAAAGGCTTCTGCTGTTCTCCACCCTTGTTGGGCTTTGAACTTTTCTCTTTGCTGCTGCTCTCTTGCCTTTTGTACTCAACAAAAGACTCCGCCGTGGCCATGGCAGTTGCAAGGTCTTGCACTCCTCGACGTTGCATCTCCATCTTGGCCCATGGTTGCAGCCCATCAAGAAAGTCGTGCATGGCCTCCTTATCCGTGATGTTCGGGATCTCTAGAAGCAGCTCTGAGAATTCTTTCACATATTCCCGAACTCCACCCCTCTGGGTGAGTCTTCTCAACTTCGAACGGGCTTCAAAATCCACGTTCTCTGGGTAGAAATGCTTCTTAATTTCTCTCTTGAAATCTTCCCACGTTACCATCACACAAGTACCTCTTTCGATGGCGGTGACATCTTCGGAAAGCTTCACCTCCATCCTCGAGACTAGCCTCTCTAGAGACTTGAGAGGGTCACGAGTGCTCGACGCGCCTTTTGACCTCCCGCCTAGGGTAGGCTCTCTGCCACGCTGCTTCTCAACGTCGTCATTGACTTCTGACCCCGACATTTTTGGTGAGGCTCTTCCTTTTCGTCTGGCTATTGCTTCTACTTTGCTAGCACAAAGCCGAACCAAGCTCTGATACCACTTGTCACGACCTTACTCTCGATTTTGGGATCTGTATATACCGAAATTTGTTTATATTTGGTATTAACGAATACATGTATTATTTATTGGGGTTGGGATTGAGATTGAATGTCAATTGTTATTCGGTATTAGGGATTACGAGATTGGGATCGGTATATACCGTAATACCGTTCAATATCGAAATATAAGCTAATGAGTATTATATCCTCTCAACAAGACTCTCTCATCCACTGCTACACGAGCCTCAACCACCAAGAATGTCATTTAATTATACATAGATCATTCCATCACCTATTTCACAACTTAGAAGCCCCATCCGACTCAAATTTGACTTTCCAATTTAAGTCACTCTCATCTCTCGCCTAATCTCTTGTTATTTTCACAACTCCAAAAGCAAACATTATTATTAGTCGTCTCTCAACCTCCAATTTGTCAAATCAAAGATTACCAATGACAAGAACTTGAGATGTCACCTCTCCTCCATTTTCTTTATCCATATCCTAGCTCTAGGCAAACTCAGGGCTCTTTGCTTAGTCTTTTTGCCCGAAATTAAACAATACAATATAATTTATATATTTAATTATTAATTACAAAGGTAATTAATTTTGTATTCGATAATACCGATTGGGATACCAAAATATTTAGAGATTGAGATACCGAAACTATTTATGAATTGGGACTAAGATTGATTTTGGAGTGTAATTTGGTATTCGAGATTTCGATATTTGGTATTGGAATATCGATACCGTACCGATTTCCACCCCTAGATATGACAGCTCACTTAGGACAACTATTATGGGCCAGACCACCTTCAGACATTGCAAGATAAAGAACTTGAGCTTTTGAAGAACTTGAAAGTCCCATATCCTTTTCCAGATAGGAGGGTTAATAATATGCACTAGAACCCTGCGATTTGTGATCAAAACATACACTAGTGCTAAATGGTATCCAGTCTTCAACGTATATACACCAATCTTAACTCCGTTATGTACAAATCTCGCTCGTAGGTACATAATATTATGCACTATCCGCCCCCAATTCAAAGGAGTTCGGGTTTTACCCATACTCATATCCACATAAGAATCAGGTAGAAAATTAAAACCATGCCCATACCCATTCGAGGTTCGGGTATCCACGGTTACCCATAGATAATAATTTTTCGTTATAACTCCAACCAACATGTTAATATTCACAGGTATATACTCACATTACATAAGTGCAAAAGTACGACAATAGATAACTAGAATGAAGAAAATTAATTAAATACAACAAATGTTATGAAAACATTATATTTGTATGCTAAATATAAAATATTTTGAGAAAGATAATAATCATTTTTAGAAAAAAATATAGATGCATGTGTATAATCGGTCGGATTCGGGTTAGATAGTGCAAAAATCATGCCCACCCATTACCCACATTATCCAGGTTTGAGTTTTATCCATACCTACTGAAAATTATTCAGATTCGATTTTAACCTACCCGATAAGATCAGATCAAGGTTGTCAACCTGCGGGTTGACCCAGACCCGGTTGAGCTAGTGGGTCAAGGGTTAATGGGTCACCCGTTTTAGCCCGAAAATATGGAAAACGTCATTATATTGTACTTATCCTGATAAATTATATCAAATCTCATCTAACATATGAGTTATAACATATAATATTACACAAAAATAACATTTCGTACTTAGATTCAACATATAGTGAAAATTCACACACACTTATATAACATTAATATTCAAATGTTCAACTTAGTATTCCAAAGATTGAGTTAGGCGAAAAGAAAAATCGGAAATAGGCGCATTTCGCAAAACAAAGAAAAAATGATACAATTTGACCTCCAACCCGGTACCTTGTAGCGGTCGACCCGACGGATGCGTGCGGCCCGTTTCTTCATCGGGTCAGGGTCAAAGTGGGTTAACCCGCAGGTCGACAACCTTGGATCGGATCGAACAAATACCCACGGTTCTGGTTTTTTTTTTTTTTTTTTTTAAACAAAGACGGTTAATTAGGGTGGAATTTGAATTGTCCAAGGAATTTCCTTTTTATTATTTTGCATCACATTTACGGAGAGAAGGGGCCGGCTGGCAGGCGGCAGAAGAAGCAGAGGCGATTTTATCTAAACCCAACTTAGTGAATGAGAAAGCTGAATTTAATTTTTTTCCTAGTTCCGAATTATTTATCCTCGGCCTTTTTTCCCCCTTGTGTCTTGTCTTCTTTTTTAATTAATTTTTCCATGCAAATAAAGCAACGCAACAAAGAAAAGAAAAGAGAGAAGAAAGCCTTTCTCTCTTCTCCTCCTTTTCATTATTATTTATTTTTTCACCCTAATATCTCCTTTAATTTTCTACCATTATTCATTCCTTCCCTCCCTCCTTCTCCATCACTCTCTCTCTCTCTCTCTCTCTCAGTTCTTACCAAAAAGTTTTTCTCTCACTATTTTCCCGAGAAACAAAAATTGCCTCTCGCCGATTTTCCGGGGAGGGAGAAGCCCAGCTGACTCTCTCTGAGTCATCACTTTGTCTAGATCTGTGACTGCAGAGAGGAAGAGAGAGCGCCGAGAGACGGGTAGGAGGAGGCGGCGGCCGGTTCATTACTCCAACTAATAACCCATTTCCAGGTAAACCACCAACCTCTTCTCCTCCCTTTCTACTTCTTACAGCCCCAAAAATGAAAACCCCCCATTAAAGTGGAGAAAGATGCACAGAAATGAAGTCGCGTTCTTGCTTTGCTTTTTGTTTGTTGGGGGTTCTGTACATGTCGCTCCGATGATCGCCCGCCCCAACGACGACTCTTTGCTTCTCTTTCCGATGAAGGCTGATTAGATCTTTCTCTTGCCGTTGATCTGTTGTGCCTATTTTGCTTTCGGTCAATTGATTGGGTTGTTTTTGTGCTTGTTTTACTTTGGTCCAGTCTGTTTGGCTACCGAGAAAACCGAGGGAAAGAGGGGGGAAAGTTGAGACTTAAAGAACATGGAAAAAATCGTCTTCCCAATCCCTTTGTTTTGACCGTTGTTTGTATTGGTTTAATTGATTATATAAGAGGAAGGAAGTCGAGTGCTTTTGTTTAACCCAATTCCCTCTGGTGTCCTTTTGTTAATTTGTTTGATTGTGTTCTTCAATCATCGTAGAAATGAAAACTTTATTCTGATGAAACCCATATTAGGTTTCTGTGATGGTGCTGATAAATTGAGCTCCTTTTTATCTATTGTGTAGCGGGAAGAAACATTCAGCAATGACACGATGTGCTGCAATTTTGGGGGGGCTAAAGCCCGAAGAGTCTCCATCGCCGCCATCGCCATCTTTGTCATCATCACCAGCTCAATCACCATCTTCGGTTATTCTTGAGGGAAGCAGTAGAGCCACCACCATGAATAATCATCACCATCAGCTGACGATTTCGACTGAAGATGCCCTAGCCAGCTTGCTCGAGCTAGCAGCCAACGATGACGTCGAGAGCTTCAAGCTCTCCATCGAGCGAGACCCTTGTTGTGTGGACGAGATCGGACTATGGTACTGTCGTCGGAAGGGGTCCAAGCAGATGGTCAACGAGCAGAGAACACCTCTGATGGTTGCAGCAACTTACGGCAGTGTTGGTGTGATGAAGCTGATTCTCGCCTTCTCTCAGGCGGACATCAACCAAGCCTGTGGTTCCGACAACACCACCGCGCTTCACTGTGCTGCTTCGGGTGCCGCAGCGAATGCTGTTGATGCTGTCAAGCTCTTGTTATCAGCTGGTGCTGATCCTAACGTTGTAGATGGCAACGGTCTGTGTCCGGTTGATACCATCGTTGTCCCGCCAAGGCTGCGAGAGATGAAGCTGACCCTCGAACAGCTGCTTTCCCCCAATCAGGGTTCTGTGGTCGAGCGGAGTAATCTGAGGGTTTTCATTGCCAACGGCAATCACAATAACAACTCTCCACCTCTCTCCCCGTCCATGGAGAATAATGGTGCTGATTCTCCCATGAAGTATGGAAGGCTGGACCAGCCGCCTGCTCTATTCGAGAAGAAGGAATACCCTATCGATCCATCATTACCGGACATCAAGAACAGTGTGTATTCAACCGACGAATTCAGGATGTATTCGTTCAAGGTCCGACCATGCTCTCGTGCCTACTCTCACGATTGGACGGAGTGCCCTTTTGTCCACCCGGGTGAGAATGCTCGTAGGAGGGACCCTAGGAAGTATCACTACAGCTGTGTCCCTTGTCCCGATTTCAGGAAAGGTGCATGCAGACGTGGAGACATGTGTGAGTATGCCCATGGTGTGTTTGAATGCTGGCTTCACCCTGCTCAGTATCGCACCAGGCTGTGCAAAGATGGCACCAGTTGTGCCAGGAGAGTCTGCTTCTTTGCTCATACCGTGGAAGAACTTCGTCCTTTGTATGTCTCAACTGGCTCAGCTGTCCCTTCGCCTCGCTCCAGCGCCACTTCAGGGATGGATTTTGCTGCTGCGATGAGCATGCTACCACCTGGCTCTCCTTCGTCGCCGTTCACTCCACCTATGTCTCCCTCTGGTAATAACGGGATGTCGAATGCTTGGGGACCACAACAGCAACAAGGGAATGGTGTTCCTGCATTGCATCTGCCAGCAGGAAGTAGTAATCTCCAGTCGAGTCGATTGAGATCTTCCCTTCACGCGAGGGACATCCCCAATGGAGGGGACTACAATGGCATGCTGCCGGATTTCGACATGCAGATCTTCAACGAGCTATCTGCTCTCAATAACAACAACAATAACAACTCACTGAACCGCTCTGGTCGTATGAAGATCCTGACGCCGTCAAACCTTGACGACCTCTTCTCTGCCGAGACCTCGTCGTACTCTCCTCGCTATGCCGATCAAGGAATGGTCTTCTCCCCGACCCACAAGTCATCGGTTCTGAATCATCAGTTCCAGCAGCAGCAAAGCATGTTGTCTCCCATCAACACTAACTTCTCCCCAAGGAGCGTGGTTGATCACCCTGCGGCGCTGTTGCAGATGTCGTCGCCACGCAATGTCGTGGAGCCCATTTCGCCAATGAGCGCTAGGATTTCGTTGCTGGCTCAGCGGGAGAAGCTGCAGCTGAGAAGTCTGAGCTCGAGGGAGCTGGGGTCGAGCATGCCTTCTTCCCTTCTCGGTGGTGGGGGTTCACCGGTGCATTTGTCGAGGTGGGGCTCGTCGAGTGGGAGACCGGACTGGACTGCGAGCGCCGACGAGCTGGGGAAGCTTCGGAGGTCGAACTCGTTCGAGCTCGAGAGTGGGGACGAGCCAGACTTGTCGTGGGTTCAGTCGCTGGTCAAGGAGTCTCCATCTGATATGAAAGAGAAGATGATGCCAATGCAGCAAGGTAGTGGTAGTGTTCCTTCTTCAGGTGAGATTAGTTCAATGAATGTGAACTCGCAGATTGATTCCATTGATAACGCCATGGGAGCATGGATTGAGCAGCTCCAGATTGATCAGCTTGTGGCTCAGCAGAACTGACAGATGAGCTAGCCACAGTTTTTGAAGGTGTAACGTAACATGGAGTTGATGAAATTGTGAGAGTGAGAGGTGACTGTTGGATTAATGGGCTGCGGGTGGTTTGGATTCTTTTTGATTCCTTTTGACCCCCAGTAAGCCCGTTTTTTTCTTACTTTTATGATTTTTAGTTTTTTTACTGTTACAGCAGGAATTAGCAATGGTTAAAAAGCCCTGGGAAGGAGGGTGGGGAAAAAGACAGAAAAGAGAAGAAGGTTAACAGAGCAAACAGAAAGGGGACTGGAGATAACAAAATTATCGAATGGCCCTTTGCTCTAGAAAAGATGTAACTTCTATTATTCATATTTTTGTCACCATCGAATTTTTCATGCTATTATAATGATCATTATATTATTTTCAATATCTAGTTAATTGTATTCTATTTCTTTCCTTTTCTGATAGCAAATTTCGTCGAATTGTTGATCATGCTGTGTTAATATCGTTGGACCTATGGAATGTTGTTCGATGCTCTGTATTGGTTTTACCTTCCTTATTGGGGTGGTCATTGGTCAAATAAGTGAATAACCCAATGATGTTGAGCAATGTTGATGCTTTTCACTATCACCTTTGTTGTCGACATTGTTGTGAATTTTCTAAAACTTAACATAATAACTAATTTGACCGACGAGTTAAGATAAATATTCAAACATATATAAGCAACCATAAGTGTGGGCCAATTTTGTGATACCATATGTATTCCAACAGTAATTGTAACTACTGAGTGTATGTATTGATGTTATTATCTTCTCAATCAGTCTGAATCGACAATTCAGTAGTGTTAATATGTATCAACGACGGTTATTGCTATGAAAACTTTGTGTTATTGAAATTGTGCAGAATTTTCTACCGTCGACATGATAGTCAATATTACACGAATAACGAGTTTGATTAGTGGGTAATTAAAGGGAAAGTTGGATGGGCACTTTCGGTTACTTGTTTGTTGATAAGTTTCTAGATTCTGGTGGCTTGGTAGTGAGTTACTTTTATTTTGTGATGTACCTATAAGGTGTTGGGCTCTTATTGGATGACAAAGGGATATTGGGGATTTGGGGTAATTGGACCCTTCGATCCATCCAACATTTACTTTATTAAAAATCCCATCTAACTCCATTTTAGATTATAATTTCCTTTTTTAACACCTGATTTTCTTTATCATGATAATTCGTGTTAAAAAGGTAAATTATAGGTTCGATCACTCAATTTATAAAACAATTGTCATGTTTGTCATCCAAATTTTTTTTTCTTCCTTACCTGTCATTAACTTTACAATTCATTTCATCAATGGTCACTTGTCGTCCATATTTGTTAAATTCATTCCAGGTGACTGTCAACTATAATATTGATCGTTAAGTTGCTGACATGTCATTTAGAAAAATGAAGAATTTTTAAATAGTCGTTCCAGACTTCCAGTTCTATGAAGGAGACAATTTAAGCCGGCTATCCTAGATAATTTTGTGCTGAATGTGATAAACTGATAGCGTAGATGTTAGTCAAGTGTTGGTTTGAATCATATGCTTCAATATTCAAGACATAATTTTTCAAGCTCAAAATTTCAAGTAACAACTTTTTGCACCCGTAAATCGTAATAGCTTCGAACGAGACAAAAATGAATACTGAGATACCCATCCACCATCACAAATACCATTTTGAAGATAAAAAATTAACATCAAAATGTTGAGCCACTTAGTCTGGTATATGACTGGACTCCTTCAATTGTGTCACTGGAGTTCGTTTCAGTGTTGGCACGTCTGAGATTCTTCTCTGGCCTCTTTCCATTTCAATGGTGTCGTTCAGTTCACCCAGCAAACGCTTCGTTGTGCAGAGCCTCGACCGCTCTCCCGCCGATTAGAATCCAATTCCCGATTTGATATCTATCTATCTGTCTGTACAGCTTCCGCTGGCACAACAATCGCAGGACACTTCGCATTGCATTGGGTAACTTAACAGTTAACACCATCTTTTTCGCCTGACCAAAACTGAAAAAAGGTAAAAGCTTGAACCCTAAAATTCTCCTCCTTTTCTTCTCCATCGTTGTCTCAAGGAAGGTGGATTCGACCCTCAAAAACCCTAAACTCCCCCCTTTCTCCATCAGGCACTTCCCTGTTTCCTCCATCTATTTAGCGCATCTTTGTACTGAACTAGGCTTGACTGGATTAGCAGAGAATATGAAAAATTGGGAGTCGAACTGTTCTATCTGGTATCATGGCTAGTGCTTTAGTTGGGTCGTCATGCACTTGGTCTGATAGAAATTTGGGTTTTACATTACAGACTATTCCCAACATAGTATGTGGCAATGATCACAGAGTTGAAGATAGAATTACATGGATGATGAACAATGGGGGCTAATGTTCGATTGTAGTGTCGATTTGGCTATGAACCAACATGGAGGTCTTTCGAACGTTGTAGTTTGCAGGAAATTCATATCAATCTCCATTTAGCTTCACTTTGATTGATCTGATCTGATCTGATCTGATGGTTATTGTAAGTCTGTCTTGAACAGTTCACGTGTACATGTAATCTAGAATGTTTGAGTGCTCTGGCAAAGCTTGAACTGCTGTAAATCAGACTTCCATTGTATGTTTATGAGTCTTAATGATGTGTACCAGTGAGTGACAACCATGGAGCTAGATGCAAAAGGACGTATGGCCCACAGTCGTCGAGCAGTCCTTGATTGATTTGTTTCGAATGGTATGAATGATGATCCGACGATAAGAAGGTATCAATGTCGCGAAGTGACATCACACGAAAGCAAAGGAGGAGGAGGAGATCATGGCAATGAATCATATTCATGTAACAGTTATGTTGACTGTATAATGAAGTGTGTGAAGATTATGGACGCGATTTCGAGATCGAAGGAAGCGCATTTCGGAGGGGCATTACAGGCCTTACATGACTATCCACTGTATAGGGTGCTTTTCCTGCGCATGTCAAATAAGAGAAGGAAGAGTGTGCAATTTCTTTAAAGTAGTTATCATTATGAAACTGTTAAGTGGTCTTGTGGTGGTATGTTGTTATTATCATGCCATGATATAAAGATTTTGTGGGTGCTTTTGAACTGTGGTAAACTTAATGGAGATGACGTGTAAATCTAGTTTATGCGTTTGGTAAAGCATGTTAGGGGACCTATTGCGCATTTTGTTCTTACATACTAGAAGTAAATGGTCAATGGTTGAGCATAAAATTAAGCTTATACACTAATTAATATATATAAACCTAAATGCAGGTTATTGTTGCTTAATAATATGACTAACTCACGGACTCACGGGTACAACCCATAGCCGAAGTAAAGTTAGGAAGACAAAATGCGCAGTCCCTTAAATAAAATTGACAAGAGAAGCATGGAGGTAAAAAAGCATTATATTTGTTGATGAATGTGTACCATCTTCAATGCTTGCCTCATCGTTAGTAGTATTATCCTTGAGCTTTATCTTTTGGTAAATATGTATCAACTTTCAACCTGCCCCTACCCATATTCCACGACAAAATACTCAATCTGGACCAACCTGCCATGGGACGAGTATAGACATCGAGATACCCGCCCTAATCTATCCCATTGTGATTCCTATATATAACAAGCTAAGGTAACCCGTGAAAAACAAACTAAATCTAATTACAGATTTACCGTTATGATGTACAAGATAAAATTTCCCCAATTTTTAATTTTCTTCTTAACCGGATTTCATAATAGAATTGGAAAAATACATAATTCCCTGCAACAGAGTGCGGGCGAGATCACCTAGTAGACCTTTCAAGGATTGTTTCGATCTACTATTATCTAAAACTAATCAAGTTACTAATCACAGGTTGAAATCAAGAAATAACCTTTCAGGTGTGAAATTATACACGAGTATAATAAGTAGATCCTCAACGCCTATACCACTTCACACAATGGTCATTTGTCTAACCTCTCTTTTTAACCATTTTCTTTACATGTTTACAAACACTTTCTCTATATATCATCCGTAACTTAATCACAATGAAAATTCGTACGGAATCAAGAACCATATAAAATTAACGTTCTCAATCCGATCTAATCGACAAGCATAAAAACAAATACATATAAAATAATCCAGTAATTTTAGTTCCCCACACTCTCTTGTAAGCAAGGAGTTTTTGGGTTACCAACAAGCAAGAAACTTTCTCCTACCTTCATATGGCAGTGCCCATGGTCCCCCATGCCACCATAATTGTTAAGAGTTGTTCTTGTTCTTCTCATTCCAACTCAACTCAAAACATTTAACCCAATAACAGGATGCCGCCCACCTAGAATCATACTTTCCCAACCTAAAATCGTTATCTTGGAACAAAAAGGCAACAAAGTAACAATAGTGCCAAATTTATCATGACAGCGAAAGCAAGCAAAAGAGACATAATAATGTCCAAGTCACAGCCAATCCGGCTGGTTCCTTGTTTGTACGGCTGAAGCCAGTTTCTTCCACCTGAGGAAGTCCCACCCAATTGATTGGCCATTTCGGCCTAGTTTACTACACAGCTCGGTTGGCTATACCAGTTTGTTCCACATGGGGAAGTTCTACCCAACTGATTGGCGGTTTCAGCCTAGTTTCGCATAGCTCAGTTGGTTACAGCGTCGTGGTTTCATAAACTTATAAGAAGAAGAGGGCAGATGTCATTCTCCTGATTCAACATTTTCGTCCTCAAATTTCACAACCCATCGTTTTCCAGGGTGGTAGACAAGGAAAAAAAGGAAGGAAGGAAGGAAGAATGACCCAGATGGTAATTGATGATCATCAAACAGAGGATTACTACAGCTCAGTTCAGAAGTACTTGATGGAAGAACCAGCACAGGTCGATGATGATCACCATCTTGATGAAGAGGTTTACGACAGCCAGAGATTGAACTGTTTGATCCAATCTCTGGAAGCAGAGATTAACTACGTCCATGATCTTGATCTTCAGCAGCAGCAGCAGCAGCAACAACAACAGCCGTCGGATCATGTTGTGGAAGGGCGTGAAACGGGGCCGGATTATGGTGATCTTGGGTTCATCATCAGCTGGAATGATCAGATTGAGATGGGTTGCAGTGATTCCTTCTTCCTTGATGGATTTAGTGATGATAATAGAATGATGAAAAGGGATTAGCTTTTGCTCACTTTCTTAATCCCCACAACTTAGAGGAGACCTTTTGATACTTGTTTACTAGGAAGGAGTTTTGGCGAAGTTTAATTTACACTATTAACAACACCATCACCAATTTTGTTTATCATAGATTTTAGCTTCATTTTTCTTATCTTTTATCCATTGCATCACTTTACTTTTTCTTTCCTCTTTTCTATTACAACACCCTCATTTTATTTCACATATTGATGAAAGATTGAATAAATACTTTATACTAGAAGTAATAAACTCCATTTTGAGGGACGAGAAGCTAATATATTTTGTAATAGGAAAAACTTAATGAAGAATTCATAATTGTTTGAACATGCCAAACAATTTTAAGAAGGAAAGAGTTTGCATTTTGCAAGAAATTTTTCTATTGAGTAGATGACTCTTGGGCTTGGCTGATGCCATAAATATCTCTTTATTTTGCTACTTTTACAAACTTACTATTCTACTATTTTTCATATCAATATATACCGTAAAAAAATCCTGTCAAATATCACCAAGGTATTATGATTGGAGAAGTTGGTTATTAGATTTGACACCCATTTGAGTCAACCAAATAATATAAAGTTGTGAGGGCTTGAATCAGTTAAACTAATTCAATATAATGACCCACTCACGAACTTAGTTCAATTCGTTAGCAAAGAAAGTACAAATGTTTGCTTAGTCAAGCAAACGTTTAAGTAGCATTACAATTACAGTTCACCATATCCCCCCTCTTTTCTCCCTCTCCTTTAGAGCACAAAACTTGCAAGAAAACAATCAAAGAATTAAAGGTATATACTAGTCTATATTCCCCTATCCCAAAAGAATAGAGACCAAACTGAACAATGAATGCCCCAAATAGAACAAAAAGAGTTCTCAGTAACTTCATGTACCCTACATATTGCCCATCTTCTGCAATATGTACAGCAGTCGAATTCCATTGAGTCGGTTCGTGCTGCAATCAGGCTACTCTGTGTTTTAACCCCAGATCATGATAATAATAGTAATGAAACTGGAGAAATTTGGTCTTCATGTTCATGCATTTGTCCTCAGAAACTTCCAAGGTCCAACGCCAGCTCCTATCCTGTGAAGGTACAGACATGTATGTCTTGAGCAAAAAAGGGAAGGAAGAAAATGCCTAGCCTATAGGAAAGAGCTTCATTCAATGTGCTTACCTAATATAGCCAGCCAACGTACGCATAGTCATGAACGAGGTCAAAGCAACCCAGATGCCGATAAATCCTTGGCCCACAGTCAGCATAGAGAGGCAAAATATACTTATGAATGACACAAAGATCTGAAATTTCCACAAGCGAGTAACAACTTCTTGTCAGGGATTACCCTAAGTTATATGGCTTTATATTTCTCATATAATCAAGTATAAAAGTACCATCGAGTATGCAGAAAATGCAAAATCAGATGCTCCAAAGTTAACTCCATCGAAGACGAAGGCTAAAACGTTGACAGGTTGAGATATTGCAACAAACTAACAGCCAAGGGAAAACAAGAAAATGAATGTCAGGTTAGTTTAGAAAGTTTGGAGAAGTGCTGAAGGAAATCCAAGCAAATGGGCTGAAGTGTAGAGCAACAAATTACCGGGACACCAAGTCTAATAAGTCTCAAGACATCCTCATCTTTGGTAAATAATATTCCACCATAATACAACCCAGGATAGAGGATGGCGGCGAGTGCTACCCCTAGAACCACAGCATACTGCAGAAACCCATACCAATAATCAAACATAATGGGAGCAAGTATGGACGTTTAGTGCAAAAAATATCGCAGAACAGATTACTTGTAGCACACGAGCAGAAGTGTCCACTGCCCTGTCAAGGTCTTCCTTTGCAAAAGCACTTGCAATGATTGCCTGAATCAAGACAAGCACCCAGACGAATCACTCAGACGGCTCATGTTTAGAATTAGGACACAGGATTGCCAGAATGTGACATAATTAAAGCAGAGATTTGCAAGGCCAATTCAAAGAGGAGTTGAAATTCTTGATCTTGCTTCTTGACTCTTTACATTATAGGGATGATTCATTTGTTAGAAACATAAGTATATCTAACCTGTCCAGCCACAGCGAGGCCATCAGCAAGCAAGGAGGTTGCCAGCCAAATCTGCAAGCAAACCTGAAATGCTGCCATTGCAGTTGGTCCAGTCCTAGTGGCTAAAGAAGCTGCCAGGGTAACAACAATTGTTGCAGCTATCACTCTCATTAGCAACAAGAATCCTTCACAGAAACACCCAAAATAAAAAAGATTAATATATATCTTTAAATGTTGCAATAGGGGAAGGAAGCGATATAGAGGGACCGAAAAATGAAGAGAACAACTTACCACTTTTGAGAAAGCGACCGAGTTGCAGATCGCTGACTGTTGGAGGTAATATATCAACTTGTTGAACTAATTTCCACAGAAGGAGCAGGGACATCACGTACCTAAAAGGCTCGAGTGGTTAACCATACATACTCGCCATTTTTTAAGGAAATCAACTAGAACATAAGTAGATAAGTGAAATGCAATAGCGCTTATTCACTGTAACACAACTTACTGAGAAATAACATGTGCAATGGCAGCTCCACTGACATTCAATCGGAATAAAAATATGAATATGGGGTCTAGGACAATGTTTGTGGCATCTCCCACAACTACAAAAATAACAAATGAAAACAATGAACTAGTAAGCATTTGAACAAGTGAAATCGGGGGAAGTGAACGGATAGCAGATGCAAATTATATACACCAGGCAATTGATAAAATGATCATGTTCATGGTAGGCGAAAAACAAGTGCAACAAGCAAATAATTCACTCATGCGAAGCTTGAACAATTTCGACAATCTGACAAGCGAAGAACAAACATATTCCCACCAGACATATATGGAACAAAATGCTTATCCTGTGCAACACACCTGTAGCGAATAGAGGAGTTCTTGTGTTCTTGATTCCCCGGAAAACCCCTTGCATAGCCAAAGTAAAAAGAACTGCAGGAGCACCGAGTGACCTCAAGACTAAGTATCTTCGTGCAGGCATTAGCATAGGAGAATCCTGTATTAAGAAATGGGAATTTTACTTTTCTCAGCATAAGATGGATAAATTTCACTCCCTAACTTGCAGATTACTGGATTCACTTACCTTATGCACACCCATGTACATGAGAACAGGTTCAGCAAAAATGATGAGACACATAGTTTGGACCAAACCAAGTACACAACTAACAACCAGCGCTGAAGTAGCAGATGGGATGTGTCTTTTCTCAAACTGTCCCTTTTTGAAGCTAGAGGCTGACGATGGTGTTAAATCAAGTGATGCACCTGATTAATTAAAAGAAGAACAGAAGACAATTATGTCATAACTGCCAGGACTTAGGAAAAGGCTAAGCAAAGCAAAACTAAATCGTTTCTGGGGATTAAAACAGCAACCATATCCGTTTGAAAAAAAAAAAACAACAAAGCACAGACAGGAAGAAAAGGATATACCATGTTTGGGTAACAATTCATCTGTTTCTTTGACACTAGTAGGAGAAGTATCTAGTAATTCTATACTCTCCCGTTCATCAGAACTCAATGTTGCAATGGCATCTTCCTCAGCGACCAGAGAAGTTGTGACACTGACGATTGGAAATATTGCAATCTTTGACACTTGATTGAACACGGCAATTGCAACACCAACTGCCGCTAGCTCAATAGGACCTAGGAGCAATGATATTGAAACATCAAACAAACCACCAAACCTCACCAACCAACCGAAACCAGTTAATGGTGAACATGACAGAACATCACAAACCTATATGGCCAATGAAAGCAGTGTCAACCAGAGAAGCAATGGGATCTGCTGCCAAAGCCAGTGCAGCTGGAATTGCAATTTCCAATATTTCTAACCCCAACTCATCGGCTGCGAAAGTTTCCCTGGAGAAACATATGAAATTGACATCTTAGGCATTCAAATTTTGGAGGGTTATTTCCAAGTTTCCAGTAAATCATCAGATATCAGAATAAGCAGATGGTGGTTAGGAGGTACAGATAGCCACGCACAAGCTCACAAAAACACATTACTATGTACAATCCATGCCAACAGGCTAAGCATCACATTTTTTTCATAGAATTCATCTAAAGGGAAAGCGCGGGCAAAAAAAAAAAAAAAACCCCATAATCAAAAGTAAGTGGGGATGTTACCTTGCCCGGTGGAAGAATATAAACGGAGGCATACTGGGCTAAGTTTCTACACAGATAACAAAAAAGAATCACATTCCCAATAAAAAATTCAAAATGGAAAAAAGAAAAAAAAATCTGCTCAGTTTAATGGCAACCCAGCAACAAGAAGGATCAATACCGTAAATGGGTATGGCAGAGATCCTCCAACACGCCACAACCCTAACAATTAATGGGCGAGTCTCCTGACCAAACCCTAACAATTGCGGTAGAAACCTGAGGTAGGAGCTTCAAGAGCAAGCATGGAATGGAGGGTAATCCAAATCCAATCAACTAAATTGAAAAAGGGAGGTCAAGGGAAGCGTGGAGGTGAAGAGGAGATATGGATGTACCTTGCTCAGGTACAACCCAGATCAGAATGAGAGGGTTGAGGTGGTGTTGAAACCGATAGTAATTTGTAGGGGGTGAAGCCACACCAACGACGCCGTTGACCATTGCTGCTTTTTTTGGGGCTTTCTTGTTTCGTTTCCTAGTTTTGCTTTGGAGTAGCCAAAATTCTGTCGAACCAGGAAAAACTGTGGGGGAAAATTACCGACGTCCATGGTCCATTTGCTTCCCCGCTTCTCCCGCCTTTTTTTTTATTCAGGCCTGTCAATGTGTGGCGGAAACATGGCGAGGAATATTAACCAAAAATTAAAAAAAAAAATGGTGGGTTTGGGTTTGTCTCAAGTTTTTTCGGAAAAACTTCTCCTCAAATTCTAAGAATTTTTCCCTTTTTAGTACAGAAGGCAATACTTTTTCGAGAATTTTATTAATTGGTCAAATTGCTAATCAAAGTATTGCAGAGAGAGAAAGATGCAAGCTCGTTCATAAACTAAATACAAAAAATCGTGGTATACATTTAATTAATATCTTTTAATATCTCACTAGAACAATGAATTTATATATATTTAATTTATTGATTACATCTAAAAATTAATTTCCTACAACTTGATTTATTGTAAAAGGTTTAATGGTTTTATAAGGTCATATCGTCTTTAAGGATTAAACGCTTTAAGTTGTGCTCTACATATGAATGGCAATGGGGCAGGTCCGGGTCGGGTATCTCGATACGCATATCCGCCTTGTGGCAAGTCGGAGGCCAGGTCGGGTAATTTATCATGGGGCTCGAGTCGGCTGCAGGTCGACCCAATGGGTATGTAATTTATGTGGAAAATTTTAAATTTTTTTATTATTATTATCATTAAAAGACCAAAAAATAAACCATAATATGATAAAATGTAGTAAAGATTGAAGAAATTGAGATTTTCACTTATTTACAACTTTATTATAGCTAAAATATGAGGTAATATGAGGAAAAATCTAAGTAATTTGACTAAGATTACATGTAAATAAGGAAAGAACGGGTCGAGAATTAGGCGGGTCAGGGCAGGTAGGATCACTGAGAGGTACCCATGCCCGCCTCAAAACAAGCCAAACAAGCCGGGTAAAACGGGGCAGGTCGAAATTGCCATTCATAGCTCTACATAGTTTGGTTTTTGGGAGTCAGTGGCTGATTGGTCTCACTAGGGGTGGCTAGACGGTCCGGTCCGGTTAAATTGGCTGGAATTGATCTGGTACTGGTCCGGTCTTTTCGAGAATATAAGGACCAAAAATTGGATTGGATACAGTCCGGTCTTGATTTGATCCGGTCATGAACCGGTCTGGTCCCAATTCGATTTTGAACTGGTCCGGTCCCAATTCGCTCTTGATTTTAGATTGAGCTCGTGGGAATTTGAGTGGCTTGGGGCCTGAAAGGGTGAGGAGGTTAAATTTTGAGTGTTGGGCTCTTTTATCCGGTTTTTTGTCCGGTCCCGAACGGTTTTTTACCTCAAATCTAGGCCCGAAGATTGGATTAGATTGTTTGCTATCCGGTCCTAGTCCAATCTCGGTCCGGGTTATACGGTTCGGTTTCAGGTAAAATCAAAAAACCCGTGCCAAATAGCCACCCCTAGGTCTCACCATGGTTGGTATTGGCTTGGTAACAAGTCGAATTTGTGACAAGCCAGTAGGCATGAAATTTAGTTACTAACTAGGTACAAAGCCAACGAGACGGGCTTGCCAACAACGTGGCAGGGTATCATCAGATGAGACCAGCTTGGTGGAAAACTAACAGTGTACCTGATAGGGCAAAAGTGTAATGCTTGAATTCTATCTCGTAGTAAAACCGCGAAGTCCGAGTATCGTCTCTCAGGGACTGGTACAACCTTATATTCTATCGATATTATAGAGCAAACTATATGTGAAAAGATTTTAGTGATGAAACTACTATCTAATAATTAAATAAAACCAGCAACTAAAATTGTCGGGTTGAAATTCAATGGGAAAAATCTGGGAGAAACACCGGAATTCACTACCTATCATATTCAAATTAATTCACATATTCCAATCAGTTTAATCCATATCTCTATGGCCAGGATATCACTACTGTGCTAGCTATCCCTGTCGGGAATTACTACGTACTAAACAATTAAATCAAATCCTACTGTTGTAGCTCAATGACTTAATTATTTAGCCTGAAGATCGATATCCTATTTAAGACCGCATAGCACCTTATTTAATCCACTGTCGCTTCGATAAGTTACTATGTCACATGAAATAGGTTAAGTTAATAGGGTTTCACGGTCGCTAATAACCTAATTAACTACAAATCAATGTATTGGTGGCCAGTCAACACAAAGCATTAAGAAATTCCATGCAATAGAGATTGGAAGAAAAAAACTATGAATCAATCCATCAATTCTAGAAATAGCTACATCCTATGGTGTTTCCCCCAAAATTTGGGTTTAGTTCATGACGAAAATAAAACAAACAATCATGTTTATAATCATCAAGTCACAAATCAATGCAAAGGAAAAAAGAATACTGAATTATCAAACGTTGTTCGATTCAAGTTCCCTCTCAATCCGCTGCTTCTTTCGCGCGCTGCCCTAGTCGCTAAGCACTGCTGCTCTTCTCCGCTCGGCGCTCTGCTCTCCCCCAATCGCCGTTTGCTTGCTGTTTTTCCCCCAGAATTCCCCTCCAAATTAATTGTCCCCGTAAAATATATTCCTCCACTTTGCTGTTCCGCCCCAGCTCCAATTGTCCCTTCAATTTAATCCTCTCCTCCTCAAAACACTGCGTTCCACATTCCGATGCTCCAATTAATCCCCTCCTTCATTGTTTTGGCCGCACTCCTCAAGGAAAAGGAAGTACAATGGCCCTTTGGACCAATGTTACTTTTTAAGGAGGGATTAAATTCATTCCGGTCCAAAATAGAAAGATTCGGTTCTTTGTCAGATGGCTTGGTGTATCCTCCTGTACTCTTATGTAATATGCTTGTAGCGGGATATTTGTTTTTTCACCTACAACACATAGAATTTATGGCACTGGGTGGTAATGGTTTTATAGCCATTCCATAGTCAATCAACTCTAAAACAAGCATTTTATGTCTCAAACATATCATGAAATAATCAAATTAAGTACATGGAATCAATATGTTTTCGACAATTATCACAACCCCACACTCAATACTTGCTTGTCTGATTTAGAAAAGAGAACAATAATTGAAAGAAACACAACACAGACCAGGGAGACACAACCCTGCTCAAAATACAAAAACCCATGACACACAAAACACAACATTAACACCAGATATTTATCCTTGTACTCTTGTGATAATCAGCAGTTTCTTTCTCAATGGACAAGTTGTGCTTTAATGATCATACCTTTCACCCCACACTCAAGGTCTTTGCAACCATTAACCATTGACTGACTCAAACCCATCAAAATTTCAATTAGCAACACTCAATTCCGATCGTCGGTAGTAGGTGATTAAAAACCTATGGTGTAACAGTTATTAGGAGAATCTAACCACATCAGTGAGGTGCATATCTCGTGAGGACAGTCTGGCTTACTCACGTCAATCATAAGCAATTAACTAGGCTTGAGTCTCAAAAACTAATGGGGGAAGCTTTTAGCAAACTTGGTTTTAACTTTAAGCACATCACTACCTTTCTGACAAGGAGAGGCTTTCTCTCTTTCTGATTTTGCTTGCCGAGTGGTCGTATTTAGTAAAAGTGGGATTTGATTCTTACTACCGGTGACCGAGCAAGAGCAATTTCTGCGTCTTAGCACTCGCATAAGGGCTTCTTTCAACTCCTTTTCCTCAGTCCGTGTGGAGGGTCACTGCACATCCTCAAATGGCACTTCACTCAACAGGGGGTTGTACTTGATAAGCAACATCGTACGGTCGCGAACCGATGCCCAGTTGAACCTTTCCTAATCCCCCTGTGCAATGAGTGATTGCCTCACACGATTTTGGCATTTTACCCACACTTTAATTGTTATGGCAACTTTCTTATCTTTTACTTGTCATGTAGGATTTTTTTCCTTTTATAAAGATACAGTTCACCCCATCATAAAACCTTTTAAAACAGAGAGACTCAATGCAAAGTCAAAAGCTCACAACAGATGCAAGTAAGCACGATATCCAAACATGTCGAATGATCAATGTTCTCCACCTAACTACTTCACCATAAGGCATTACACTATCCTCCCAAAAGAGAATGTTGCTAAAAGATTTTGCTAATTCAAAGCATATCAAGTCAGTCAAAATATCGAGTTCATTGTGAAGAACTTTGCAATTCAACACTAGTGGGGTGATTTTGATGATTTCATTCTAGCACAAACTCATTTCACACGTCTCACGGTCATTTACATCATGCTCCCACAAGAGTACAAGGTTTTGTTATAAAATTTTCTGATTTTTAGGTGTTTTTTAGCCATTAGGTTAACACAGACACATTGCACTAGCACAGGTAGACTGCATGCAGTTTGGCTGTGCACAACCCAAATGATAGTTTTTTTTTTGGATTTTTTTTACCACATGCAACAGGGACAAACAACACTAAGACTCACCACCCCACACTTAGGATGGAACATTGTCCCTAATGTTCAACTCCTAATCTAAACATGCACGGGTTTGACACAATAAAAAGAAGAAGAAGAAAAAAAAACTTACCTTGGGTTGCCTCCCAAGAAGCGCTTGTTTAACGTCCTCGGCCTGACATTTATGGAGCTTTCAAACAATGGGTATGGAAAGGTATCCAGAATACCCTCCCGAGCAATGATAGAACGCATACCCTCCATCCAACATATGAGTCACCTCTGCAAGGGCAGGTGTGCGAAAATTTGGTATGACCTTCTTAGTTGGCATTTTGGACCCTTTAGTGAGGCGTAGGTGGTATTGCAGCGCCTCAAGCAAGTACTCTTCCTGTTTTGATGTTAGTGAAGAAGGAATAATAACAGGAAGATTGAAATCCTTACCCAAATATCTATACTTGAGGTGCCCTGGCAAGGATTTCTGCCCTTGCTTTGATTTCAGACTTTGAGCTGCTAGGACATGTGATAGTTCTTTGGGTGGTCCACTATCACAGCAAGAGGAATTTTTCTTTTCTCGAGCTCCACTTTCTAAGTCATCAAATGCATCGTGATTATGGTAAACTTGAAAGACATTAAATATTTCCTCCTCCTTACCTACTCGGAATGTCAACTTGCCTCTCCCGACATCGATGAGTGCATCGCCAGTGGCTAGAAAAGGCCTCCCAAGAATGAGAGGCACTCCCCGTTCTTCTTCCATCTCCAAAATGAAAAAATCTGTTGGGAGAATAAATTTCCCCACCTTCACCAATACATATTCTACCACTCCTTTTGGAATTTTCACTGATCGATCAGCCAATTGGAGAGTGATCCGAGTAGGTTTAAGAACATATTCCAATCCCAATTTCTTGTAGACTGAGTATGGCATCAAATTAATTCCTGCTCCAAGATCACAAAGTGATTTATCGAACTCTGTTCCTCCAATGACACATGGAATGGTGAAGCTGCTCGGATCATCCCTCTTTTCTGGTAATTTATTCTGAATCACAACACTAGATTCAGAAGTAAGAGTTACCTTCTCTAGATCATCCCAT